CTATGAAAATTCTCAATTTTGTTTCTTTTAAAAAAAATAACGACCACACTCACTCAACGACACCTTAAGATACGAGATTCATTTTGTATATTACATTTTATGTTTTGATTCGTCATATACATTTGTAAAAAAAAAAAACAACACTCGACTATTTGCAAATTTTTACTTAAAAGCCTTAAAAACTATACACAAAAATAAAATCCGTTGATGTGAAAACGGCGCTTATCCATTGCCTATTTAAAGTATTTCAAGTTAAGTTTTTCAAATGATTCTCTACATGAAACCTAAACGATGAATGATGAAGATATTCGTGCTTTGCTTTCAAGGATGCATCATGCGTGTTATCATGCTATTTGTTAGTGCTGGAATTTTATGTGCATCATAAAATGAATAGCGTTATCTTGCCGTTCGATATCAATAAATATTTTAAGCCTTTCCTAAGCCTTGCAACAACAGTACCTTTGCAAATCGATAGATGCTTTAGCAAGACAGTAAGACTTTACGAGTTGCTCGTTGCTTCATTCAGAATCATAAAATAGTTTATTCACATTTTATTACTAGTGGTAGGGCCTTGTGAGCCCACGCCTTCCATCTTATTTTTTTCCACAAAACAGTAATGCGTTTGGGTTTGAAGGATTAAACACTATAGACTCTATAAAACTGAGACTTAGAAGTCATGTTTCATGGTGGGTTGAATTTACGTTGTTGATGTTGAGTACGAGTTTTTTTTTAAATTGTATAGATAGAGATTTGAGGCTTGAGACTTGAGGTCTATATCGCAGTTGTCTAGTAACTACGCAAATTATATTATATTATTACACAATGTTATTCGTGAGTTTGCATTTCATTAGAAATAATAAGTAGATGGCTGAGGGATTTGAACGTGGGCATAGTTGTATCTTTTTTTTCCTACCTGAGTTGATAGCCATGAGAAACTATGTCACGTAACCCTGTGTAGATGAGCTGTCGGGGCTCAAACTAGGAGGCTTTGCTAATACTGGCCCTAGCAAGAGCAGTGCTTCGCAGAATCTACCACCGAATCGGAAACGCGACCCACTGAGAAGATCCGGCGAGAAACTCAGCTGGGCTGTGTCTATGGGTTAGTTTACTCACCGAACCCTTTGGTCGGCAGGATTGGGTATTTAATATCTGGCTGTCACGACAAGAGTTTTCGGTCCGTGCCGCCTTCTCAAAGTAGCGCACTGATGACGATACTTGCTAACGGAGTCAAGCTCCAGGTCATCATGGAGATCCACATTCCTTAAGAACCACGGTGCTCTGACGGCTATCATGCGAAAACGGGGTTGAATGACTTGAAGGGGTCTCAAATTAGTGCGGGCCGCTTGAGCGAACACTGCACTTGCATAGGTCATGACCGGGCGTGTGCAAGTTTTATAGAGTGTCACGTTATTACGAAGTAGTTGCATCACTTGATACAAATAAACCGGACGTATTATCCTTTAAGCCACGACGAGTAAACAAGGAGACTTGATCGTAGCCCATCTGATGTTACATTGTGGCTGGAGTCATCACAACGTAAATGCTATTATTTTATCAGGGCACGTGAAAATTAGTACCGGCTAAAAAAATTTTAGACTGACCTCTTTTTCCACCGTCACTGGTACCGGCTTTTCTACCGGATAAGGAACTTTTTTAATAACAGGATAAGGTACTGGTTTCTCTATAGGTATTTGCAACTCGTGGACCACTGGCACAGCCACGGGCCTCGACACCGGAACATGGACAGGGTAGGGCTGGGGCACCGGTACTATTACTGGATGGGGAACTTCAATCTGTAAGTTCGGTAAAACGAATTCTATATCTTCGTATTTACCTCTTCAATCTTCTAAGCTTACCATTATCTGTCTCTTAAAGACATTTTCAAGACCGCTTTAATAAACATACATCAAGAGCTACATGGAGACATTCTCTCAAAAACTGTAACTATTCTCTATCAAGTAATGATATTGTAGTAATGAATATGAGCCACCATTTTGCTCTAATACCAATAATAATAATAAATATATTTTAATAAAATTAGACACATCATAACTTAAGGTTAAAAACAAGTGTCCCAAGGAAACTACTCAAGAAATTGCTTTCACTATTCATTGAAAGCTAATCTAGCGCAACACTATTCACAGACTATGAGTCGATAGACCCATAATAAGAATATCCAATACTTTCTTCAGTTACTCAGTGTTTTAAAATTGGCGACTTAGGAGAAATCCTAGTAACTTTAACTTTCAATAATGACTTGTGTTGCTGAATCGTAATTTTATTTCCATTTTATTATTGTATGTAGGTACCTACTGTTCTTTTCTCAACCTCGATCAATTAATTATTGATATATTCTGAAAGATGTTCATCTAAACGCTTGGATGCACATTATCTTACTGACCAAGAACAAGAAAATAGTGCGAGACGTAAGCCAAGAGATTTTCCGATCCGCATTCCATCTAGATTTTTTATAAATAATTTAGCCATGTGGTTTCACAAGCAATTTGACCAATGGATATATTAATTGCTGTATTAAAAATGAAACATGCTTTCGGTAACTTAAGAATAAAATGCTATGGTCATCGATATATACTTACCGGGTATGGTTTCGGTACAGGGATATGTAAAGCCTTCGTATCTGTTCCTAAGCTTTCGTAATCCCGAAAATTGGAATCCCTATATTTCGATCTCAAATATGATTGCCTCCACCTGTCCACGACTTTGTTATAATAATCACTATCATCTGAACTACTGTATGCTGTGGGTTTGTAAGTTGGAACATATGATGGACGAGATGTATCTTGATTTCTTAAGCCCAGTAAATCCTCTTCAGATTTAAAGCGGTTTGGTTCTTCGTTATTCCAATCTTTAGGTCTGCTAGATTTGTAGGGATTATGATAGCCATAGGGCCAATAATTTGGTTTATTTTCATATGGAGTGGAGTGGTAGTGATGATATTTATTCCGTTTTGGTATGCTAACAATTTCATCATCAAGGTTATCACTGAAATGTGGGTGTTTTTTAAACGATGGCAACTCAGTTACTTCATAAGTATTTCCCCAGTATGAGCTAGAAGACGGCGTGGTGCTCAGTTGACTTCTATAAGCATTAGAAAAATCATTCAACTTCTGTTGCGAGTCTTTAAATGACTTGATACTAGAATAATCACTAAACGAAATTTCAGGCATTTTTTTAAAAGTGGAAAATATCTGTTGCTGTGGATAATTCAAATCCACTAAGTTACTGCTTGCTGGCACAATTTCATCAATATTATTTAACGGATTTCTCGATTCATTAGATTCGTATTTAAATGTCATATTTATGTTATTATTTGAATACTCGTATCTTTTGCCATGTGACAAATCTTTCCAATTACGTATACCTGTGCTATTTTTATTTAAAAACCAGGGCTTTTCTTTTATTTTTTTCTTGCTTTCTGTAGATTTGATAGGTTTTTTATAAGGCTCGTTTTCGTTGTTATTTGGAGTAACACTATTTAAACTATAATGATTAGAGAAAATCGCATTATCGTCATTTATATTGATATGTTTATTAAAATTGTATTTGCCATTTATATTAGATCCACTTTTTACCATTTGACTATTATTTTCGGACACTGCATTTTCATACGCATTCCCAGAATGAGAATGTGGCAAAGAACCATAATCGATTATGTCCCTGGGTGTGGTTGTCGAGATACTATGAAATGAAATGGGGTAATGTGGTTTGAGATTAGTGAAATCGACGACTTTTTGAAATTTAATTGGATTATGTGTATTCTGAACTGCATTGTTTTCATTAGTATTGAATTTATTAACTGAATTTTGATTTTGTATATTTTTATCCGGATTGTTCGATTTTGTATCACCGTCCGCTGTCGTTTCATGTGTATCTGTTATCATAGGCATATTAGCATAGTTTTGATAAATCTCTTGGCTGGGAAAAGTGTTATTTTCCGTATAATTAAATCGTGTTGGTTCTCTAATTTTACCTTTATGAATTTTGGTACCGTATATAGGATTTTCTCTATCTTCACTATATAACTCTACGGTTCCTATATTTCGGTGACCATCGTTTGAATTTTCAAATGTTTGAGAATTAAAATAGTTAAAATTATTCGGATTGTATTGAAGAACGCCAGATTTCTGACCGTCATTATCGTTTACGCCATCAAAAGCTTGAGTAGCAAAATTGTTTCCAAAGTCCGTTGCATCGAGAGCAGTTGGGAAAGCGGGCGCGTACAATCTCGTTGATGATTCTTGATTGACACCAGCAGAACTAAAACCAGTGTAATCTGCGGAGGTCGGCATGAAACCGTCGTACGATCCGACATCATTAAATCCAAATGCTGAATACGAGATGACGTTGGCTTGTGGCGTGCTTGTTTCTTCATCGACATACGGTCGCCTGTTTTTCTTCGATTTCTTCGCTTCCGCAGAAATGTAGAGGTAAAACAACGCGATAAATAAAATATAAATTCGTCTTTGAGACATGTCGATTTGATCACTAGTATAATTAACAGCGCACTATGAACATTGTTTGGACGTGATGTTTAAATGGTTTCCGTCCGTCGACTGTGGACGTAATGGAATGATCGCGAAAACTGACTGGCTTCCACGTCTCTATTCGGTCTGACCACTACTAGTCACTCCTCGTCCTGAGAAAACGAAAGCGTTTCATGCATGAACAACTCGGAAATTTTCCCCGATTAATTCACTAATAACTAGTTTCGATGCATTCTGATAATTGAGAATATCGAAGCGTGAAAGAAAATTACCTTATCGCCTAGGAAATGTGTCTTCCGTATTTTTTTGTTACTCCTATTGACACATGATGTTAATTTAGCTATATCTGACGTTTCCAGTTAAAAAAAATGAAGCAATCCACTTATAACGTTAATTAACAAAATGGGTAGGTAATAAATATTTACATTCGAACAAAATGCTAATTCAAATTAATGCTAATTTTTATTGGGTTATGCGCGTAAATAAATAAAAAACTTTGCTAAAAACAAGTTTATTTGACTATGCAAATTATTTTCGTACAGCTTTAATTTTCAAACTTTCAAAGAATGAAACGCTTAAAAACTACGTTTACGTCATAAACTATCCAACTTAAAATGGCCACGGCAGCTTCCTAAGCTTCGAATAGTCAATCCTTCTTAATTACGAAGGCGCCACTTTGTACTAAATTAAAATACAATTCAACTTAACAACAATTTTAACAGAAAAAGAAACGAAGTATTTAGTGAAAGAATAACAAGTGGAATGACTTTTAGTAATCTGATACTTGAAAGTTATCAAAAGTGATGAACAAAAATTTACATTTCCACTTTCCACTACTGATAATGTTCGATAGGTAATAAAAAAACATGCGAATAGGCACAGTGGAGAATTTATATCGTAAGAATGAATATATAATAATTATATAGTTCCTAGAAGACAACGTTACTAGAATTTTAGAGATTCTAAATGTAATCTATACAACTATTACTAAATTATTTATGGTGATTATTATTTTTTATTATAAACTCCGATAAACGTTTATCATGTATTATGATATTTTAATATAAAGTTTAAACACTCAATAGAATTAGGTACATTTACATTTAATATTGTGACTTAGACATTTTCTTGCTACAGAACATCACCTAGGTATAACAATTTATATGGGATCTTTCACCTAATATCATTTAATATCTATTAATTTGTGAAATCTCTGTCTCATTTATTAGACATCGAATAAAATCTATAAAAAAATATTCTATCTTTGAATTTGAACACTTCGAATGCAAACATACTGGTCGACTATTAAGGGTATTTCAAGTTTAAGGCCATTACAATACAAGTGCAAGTGTATAGGATCCAAAAAATGTATTATCTTTAAAGGAGCGTTACATTTTCCGATAACATCTAAGACGTGAACAGACACTACAATAACACTATTAAAATATATATATGTAGAATTTCTTAGTATGTACTATGATTTTGTTTTTTTTTACTCTAATATTCATAGGATATCTACTTTTAAAATATGAATAAAACGTTTAAATATCTATCCAATATACTCTCTATAACTGTCAATATCTATCTACGTTCTATAAGGTGTTTCATAAAAAAATGTATTTGTATGTATTAACAACTATCAAAATTATTTGTCGAAGTTAGAAGGCTATCCACCAATATTTTTTATTTGCCAAAAATATATGAATAGGCAACGTTAAAGGCGTAACAAGTAAGGAGATGCATGTTCATAATTGTGAACAGTGTGCTTAGTGCGAGTTTTTTAATGTTCGCGATAGAGGAAAAGTTAACTCAAATTTGTATGGAGTTGGAAAGTTTGCCTACGTTTGCCGCTAGAGGCGCTGTTCTAACTGCATACAAATATAAGTTAACTTTTACGCTATCGAGAACGTTAAAAAACTCGCAGTAAGCACACTGAACCTGACTTAGTTATTACAGATTTGTTTTCTGAATTATTTTAAACTTTCGCAACCCTTACGATACGATACTATTGTTATTATTATACACACTGTTATTTAACGAGTTCTTGTAACAATTTTAACAAGCAATGTGTTCCCCTATATTTTGTCGCCGCTGTAAATATACATTTAGTAAAAGAGAATGCGAGTCCAAAATTTTCGGAAAAAAGTGTTGATACCGTTAAAGTATAGGGTAGGGGCGAGTCATCGAGTTTTAATGGTAACACCATAAAAGGACTGGAAAGAAGGTAGACAGATTTTTCCGTTCATGGCATCCTACCCGCAGTCTTCTGTCTATCCATGATCATGGTCACTGTATTGCAAGCGCCAAATTGAGATTAGATCTCAGTAAATAATAGTGTGTGTAGTTTTCTGGAATTCTCCATAAAATAATGGACATGATAATTTTCGGTTTGATTTGTGAACATAATGATATTGTGTATCAAGTTAGAACAAAGAACATAGCTGCTAACATTGACAAAAGATTTAATCTTAGGTTGTGACTAGCAATTGATTTTATTGAGAGTTAATTTTTTTGGCATTATTTTTTGTCGCAATCACAGAGAATCAACATTCATTTGTTCACTTCTGACGGTAAATGGTCACCGCCCATCGGCATTGGCAATACCAGATACCGGTTAATCTGTCTAATCTGGTTTTACCATACGTTTTTATCCAAATTGACAATGGCTTGCACTATTCGTTTATAATTTTTAAAATTTTTGGTAATTAAAAATATTGGTGTACAGTGAGAACGTTAGAGTGAACTTCTACATTTTTTTGTGACGTTAAAAAGTTTAGAAAAATATCTTTTTTTTACTCTTGTTGGAGTCGACATTACCCTTATGGTTAACATGCAGTCGATGCGTCAGTCGTTCATTGCTCGATTCTATAACATTACGTATTTGTCAATTCTCAATTTAAAAAATTAAGCTGAAAAACGTAATAAATAAAAACATATTTCAAACCGTCAAACTCGAAGAAACTCTCCAATGAGAGATCTATAATAATCCAAGTACATAATAAATTGATATTTTTTGTGACACTTTTAGTGATTACTCGTTGAAAAACAATTAGGTATCTATACAAATATTATAAAGTATTATAAGTAATCATAATAACATTTTATACCATACAAGCTTTGCAAACAAAATGTTTCACACTCACACCATCTACAACCAACAAAACGCAAACACTCAATTCAATGGTAATATTAAACAAACACGCCTCGTGTATAATCAAATCTGAGCAGCCTTGTATTATTATTTTAGTCTGCGCTAGATGGCGATGCAAATAACTCAAATTCATCCATCTAGATGGCGCTGCTCGTGTTTAATCTGTGGCCTTTTTTATATCGACTTTTTGAACAAGACATGTGCTGTCCTAACCAGTTTCATTACTAAGAAGACATAGTTCATAGAATATAGTTTAGTACCAGAAGGATTCTCTAAAGGTAAGACGACGAAATTTGGAATTTCAGTGTGCAGAGGCTGCCGGTGTGTGCGCGGGAGGAGCCGCATGTCTCAAGCGCGCTCGTATCTCTTGCAGGGTCGGGTTTGTGCCCGGCTCTACTTCTTCTGTAGTCTGCTCGGCTTGTTCTAATCGCCGAGCTCGCTCTGTCAGGGCGCGTTCTAATTCTGGAAAAAAAAGAAGAAAAAAAAAATTGAGTAACTCCACGTGTACGAACCTCCGACCCCGATGCGAACAGTCGAACTCTAATCTGTTCTAAGCTATGTTTTGCCCAAAACACGTGATTTCGGATCCTCCCGATCTACTAACGGTGCTTTTAGGTACCTCAAGCACCGGTTATCGTTCTCGTCGAACCCGTCGCTTGCGACGAAGGGCTCGACGAGCAAATTCACCCACAGACACCGCCCACTGAGTTTCTCGCCGGATCTTCTCAGTGGGTCGCGTTTTTACCCGGTGGTAGATTCTGCGAATCACGGCTCTTGCTAGGGTTCGTGTTAGCAACGTCGTCAGGTTTGAGCTCCGTGAGCTCACCTACTAGTTAAGGTTACGCTGAAATGGCCTCTCAAGGCTATCCAGCTTAGCTAGAAAAAAAAGGTTATTTTTTCAGTGTTTTTATGATAGGGTATATACGAATGGTTTATTACGATAATTTGCTGTGCAGTAAAAACGAATAAAACATATATATTATATACTTTCATAAAAAATAAAATAATATTTCACCACTTGATAGCAAAAATCTTCCAAAATATGTTTTTTTTTTTATGATTTCCTTTATTCCAAGAGAATGACTGTGGAATGACTAATCATGAGCTCTCTCGTAACATTTTTCTCCGAAAAAGCGGCGCAGCACGATAGAGGGTTATCGTGGCCGCCTCAAACTACATATTCGAGTCAGGCGACGGAACTACGCAAAGCCGCCGTCGCCCAAAATATATCATATCTTATCGGATACTCCAGATCCACTCTCGGTGCATTTAGGCTCTCCTAGCACCGGTCATCGTTCTCGTCGAATTCGAAGCGCAATCTAACCCGTGGACACAACTCACTGAGTTTCTCTCAGTGGGTCGCAATTCCGATTCGGTGGTAAATTTAGCGAAGCACTGCTCTTGCTAGGACAAGCGTTAGCAAATTCTCTCAGGTTGAGCCCGTGAGCTCACCTACCCGTCCGCGCGTAGTTGGAATAGTCCGATAAGCTACCAGCAATTGCGTTTGGAAAAAAACCTAACATTCAAACAAATCATTAAAAACTTCAACAAAAACCACTTTTAATTAATGACGTATTTATTTTATCTACAAACGGAAAAGGAACATGTTTGTTATCAATCAACTTCGACTCTACTGTTTTGTGAAACCGAATGAATTCTAAATTGAATTAATGAACCATACCCACGACATAAGAATAGTTAGACCGTTGTTTTTACCATCAAAATTACTGACTGACTACCAAGACTACCAACTGGACTTGTATGTACTCAAAACTGTTTTTCGAACAATTTGAGCGATTTGAATCGTCGTGGCCTAAAGGATAAGACGTTCGGTGCATTCGTCTCTAGCGATGCAACGGTGTTCGAATCCCGCAGGTGGGTACCAATTTTTCTAATGAAATACGTACTTAACAAATGTTCACGATCTACTTCTACGGTGAACGATTAACATCGTTTAATAAAAATCAAACCCGCAAAATTATAGTTGCAGTGAAGGGACCTTCCTAGTGGTAGGACCTCTTGTGCGTCCGCACGGGTAGGTACCACCGCCCTGCCTATTTCTGCCGTGAAGAAGTAATGCGTTTCGGTTTGAAGGGTGGGGCAGCCGTTGTAACTATACTGAGACATTAGAACTTATATCTCAAGGCGGGTGGCGCATTTACGTTGTAGATGTCTATGGGCTCCAGTAACCACTTAACACCAGGTGGGCTGTGAGCTCGTCCACCCATTTAGGCAATAAAAAAAAACACAATTGAGAAACAAAGTACAATAAGCTGGATGTAGATTCCACAGCGTTTATCAATAACAGGATTTATGTATGTGGAAATAAAAATGTAGGTAATGATGAATGCGAACTTTTTCTTGGGTTTTTCCTTTCGCTCGTATCTACTAAATATCTTACTATAAAATGTAACGTAATCATAAACTTTATCTAGTATTTACGAGTATCTAATTACTACTACATACTACGTACGTCTATTAGCAAAATGTTTATCACATCATATCATTTTGCCGAAGTCTATTGTATTTGTCTCGTACCTTGAATAGAAATTTAAAAAAAAATATGCCTGAATTCTATTATACAATGATTGTCGAAAATAAAAATCACCAACAAATATATTAAAATCTGTCTTTGCAAATACCGATTACGGTACAGTATTACAAATTGACTGTATCAATTGATTTTCTCACAGTATAATATAAGTAATAAGATTCAATATGCCCGCTATAATCGCTTCCGATATTTCTAGTGATCGTTTTCTCTTAGGCAAATCAATCGGACAAAGATATGAGCACGATATTTTCACTTTCATTCAGTGTCGTTTTAGGTTTCAGATAAACGCTGATAAGTTTATTGTCGTTTGTTGCTTATCAAATTAAGTATTTAAATTAACAAAGGAGGGTTTATTTATAATTATTATTAGGAATCTTTATTTTTATTGTACAACACTACTTTAGTTTTTGGGTTCATTAAAAATAGTTGTGCTTGTTGTAGTGAATAATGGAATGTTATATTCGCCTTGAAGGTGAACGGCCTCAAGATGCACCTGCGGCCGGTGTTCACATTATGCGCCCAATAATGGCCCTCAAACAAATATGCGAGCAAAAAATCAAACTAAAGATTCGTATTCCGAACGAGCAACCCCGACTCTTAACGAGAATATTCCTAATTTATTTTATAGCAACAATTTACGGATACTAGTGGTTGCCCGGTAGTCAGAATTCGACAATAATTATTAATTTAAATTATAAGTTTGAACATTATTATGGTTCTATTGTCAAAGACTTTACTTCTATAATGACAGATTTCGCTAAGGCTACACTATAGACAAATAATATTTAAGAAATCAATATTAATCTATTCTCAATTAGACCACAGACTTTAACAATAACCAAAACAGTATTAATGCGTGCGTGTGTCAAATATATGTTAGTGTGCGTAATGTTTTCTTTATTGGTTTAATGTATTTTTTATGCAAAAAAATATTAGCATTGTTCACTCCTTCTGTATATTCTCTATAAATGTGGGAAATTTCATACTCCTCCGTCCGCGCAATTTTCGTAAAAAGGGATACAAAGTTTTTGCTTCACGTATTAATATATATATGTAGATAGTATTATGGAACTTGAAAAGGTTTGTTAAACTTTAGTATTTAAATTGTACGCGCTTCGATATCTTCAAGTTTCATAACAACAACAACAAAAAAAACAGTTCAACTAATTAATACTTGCTGTATTTATAGGCAATTACGTTGCGGAAATATTACGTGAACAAATAAACCGAGAAGTCGTCGATTAGTTAGATTCTGGTTTCGTAAATTTTTCGAATAAAAGGAGTGGCGAGATATAATTTATTTACATGGTCGCAAAATAGTTTTCGTTTTTAGAGCACTTGAATCGACTATTATCAAAGGCGGAAATGTGACTTTTGGACAATTATTGGTAAATCAGAAAAACGAATTATTGACTTTGTATTCCATTGGCAGTCACAAAACTCTTCTGAACGACATCTTAGATAAATAACAGGTTAAGTATTAACCTTTATTTAATGCAGGTTTTGAACCGTATTCTTTGAAGGAGACGATTATATTCAAATCAATCTTTATTGACATATCAATAACGTTTTTTTGTCCAAATGCACAGATTGCCACCTTTGATAATAGACGACTCACTTGTTAGTTTAGATTTTTACTATTGGAAGAAAGGGCGTGTTTTGAGACAGCGCTGATGCCACCAATTCAGGAAATGTACTATGTTCTTGTGACTTTAGACAGCCGTTAACAAGTACCATAAAAACTTCTACTTTATGTCTTAAGTTGGTTAGCAATAGAGTAATAAATATGTTTTTCAAATCCACTCTTTGATTTATCATTATTAGCTTTGACGTCGAGCGTATTTTATAGCAATATGCATTTTGATCAACCAATGCTACTGCATCTCATATAAAATTACGACATTTTTCGACAAATCACTGAAACGTATGAATAAATCACCGCTGTAATTTTATTGAACTACTAAAAAAGTAGAGTACCTTGAGTTTCGACCCTGTTCATCCGTTGTGTGTCTATTATTTATTTTTTTAGCTTAGTTGGTTGGACGATCTCACAGCCCACCTGGTGTTAAGTGGTTACTGGAGCCCATAGACATCTACGACGTAAATGCGCCACACACCTTGAGTTATAAGTTTTAAGTTCTCAGTATAGTTACAACGGCCCAACCTTCAAACCGAAACGCATTACTGCTTCACGGTAGAAATAGACAGCATACATCGCAACATTTTAAATTTCATAATAATACGATATTATCTTACCTGTTTTTAAAATTGCGTATCACTTGAGTTATTCACGTTTCGGAACAATCGTCAAGGTCGAATGCCAATATTGCAGTTATATTTGACCGTGACATTCAATTACTACATTGACAAGACAATCTACTTCATCATCATCATCAACAGCCCACAGTCGTCCACTGCTGGACATAGGCCTCTCCCAATCTACACCACTGAGCCCGGTCTGCGGCTCTCCTCATCACAATCTACTTAGCTGGGATATAATAATAGTCCAATAAAGATTACAACTATCCCTTGTGTAATAGTGTTATTTGTGGTAAGAAATGGAGCATTTATCGAGAATGAATTCTAGCGAGATAAGAGAAAATTATAAAGAAAGACAAACAATATTTAGTTAGATAGACCTGAGACTGTAATTAAAAAAGAATCGTACTAATAAATACCATAAACACATTGTGTGAAGATCGAACAAACAGACAACCAAATGAAGAGATTGTAACATTACAATATCGGTGATTTGAACTCAATCACAGCCCTATTTTACTATTATATGTTACCAAAATATTATAAACGTTATAAAACTTATGTTAAAGCTATTGTTCATTCTAAGGCAAATGACTAATAATCCCAATAAGACCAGAGAAATAATGCAGGAGAAATTTAATATAATAAAATTGAAACTCGATTGATTTTTGTTCCGTCATTACGCAATCTTCAAATTCGTTATATAATGCAATTGATAGTTTTGGTGTACCGAATTAATTACAAGATATCTTGCTTTAGAAGTTAGCAATCTAATAAAATAAAAAAAACAACAACGAATTTCTTACCTGGCGCATCCTTGTGTTGCTGTTCCCGCATTTGATTCAATATCTGCTTCTCTTTGTGTTTCGATAGCGCCTTTTCCAATTCGCTCTTTTGATTTAGGACATTCTTTCCTCTAAAATAAAAGAATAGCTTCATTCAAAATTGGCTATAATAATAGTTTCTCAAATTAAATTTTAATATTTTTTTTAAAACGATCCTGTTCAATGGAAAATCTTTGTGTGGGCTATTGAAAAATAGAATTGTTTTTTTTTTATTTTTTATTTTTTGTTATTAAGCCAGATCAGGCCAGAGCATATCTGGTGTCAATCGGGTATGACAACATGAATGTAATTGGCCACTTCAGGGATAGATAAGAAAAAAAATGGCTTGCAAAACAGTGGTACTAACCCAGTCACGGTGGCCATACCACAAGGAATTAAGATATAATAATAATAAATAAACAAATCGCGCACGATTATCATTACAACTTGGATCGCCTATGCAATGGGAACCAGAGACAGATATCCATACTTATATACGATTAAATAAATACATATTATATAGATAATAACCACCCAGACAAACAGCAAACAAACCTGTTCATGACAATATATGATTTTTGTACCCGATGTGGGGCTCGAACCCACAACCCTTGGCGCCTCAGTCAGGGACGCTAACAACAGCACCACCGAGTCAGTTGAAAGTCGAAAAAAATCTCAAATAAGAATTAGGTTATAGAATTAGGACTGTACCGTTATGTAAGATACAGAAGCTTTCATGTAGAATATTTTTTTTATAGGAATTACTGTAATCCAAATTCTCTAATAAAAAAAAATCAAAAACAGTTCAAGTGGAACCTTGTATGGAATTGTTGTAGCGCGAATGAACAAAACAAGGATGCACAATACGGTATATGACGTCACGTCATTAAAATGCAAGCGCGCGAGTGAGATAGCAATGTCGCTGCTACACCGGTTTTCTTCATACCGATCATTGTTGATCTTGAAGTACCGATCTTCAAAATATGAATTGATGATGACAAAACACGAACGCATCGGGACCACCGAAAATATGTGATAGGGAACCTTTCAGTCAAAGTGTGATTATATACACATCAAAATTATAGCGACTAAAAAGTTGTATGTAACTTAATTAAAAACCGAAGAGAGATGGAGAAACGTCTCTCGAAATGAGGGAAAGAGAGAGGGTACAATAGGCAATCTTATCGCTAAAAGCCCTCTCTTCCAGACAAAGCCGTTTATCTACAGATATTCAGAAATAGATTCAGCAGGTATGGTTGCTTTATACTATTATTAACAATAGTTAGATTTTTATTATTAATTATTAAGTGAACTATTTTATATTTAAATATACGTAGTATTAAGCGGTAGACAGCGGCTTGACTCTGCCCCTGGCATTGCTGAAGTCCATGGGCGACGGTAACCACTCCCCATCAGATGGGCCGTATGCTCGTCTGCCTACAAGGGCAATAAAAAATCCCATATTAAAATGGCATTACAGCTTCGGAATGAGCGTTGACTGCATATCTCCGCTAGTAGATAGCAGATACTTTAAACATAAAAAAAATTCGCAGACAAAGACTAAAATATGTGAAAACAAGCGTGATGAACATTAATATCGATTAGAAACTTTAGAATGAGATAAGAAAAACAACGTAGTGGCGACGTTGTTGTAATCTTATCATATCGTGTTGTGATACGGAATCCATTAAATGTATTTAACCTTATATGGTAATGTGGTATTTCAACTGATATCAACATTCACGGCGAATTGTGCAAAGTTTACCAAATGGCTAATAAAATGCGCGTCACAACAACATTCGTTCCATTCGGCGGATACTTACTAAAGTTACTGTAATTTATACAGATCGCATTATAAACAGCAGATATTACATAAGTTTACTCATTTACCTACATAAAAATTGTCAACAAATGAATTTATCATAAATAATACATGCAACAATCTCACAGTCACTATGCCTAAAACACAATTCGTTATTGTTTCATACAAAGCTCCCTCGAAGGATTCCCACGCGCGGTACCTGCATGTGTGAACTATTCGTTGGCACTTACTGCAATGACGTCATATAACTGCATTTTTTATTTATTTCGCTGCACATCTGTTCTCAAATAAGTCCTGCTAGTCTAACGTTGCGTCACCCATAATAATCCTTCGTAATAATGTATTCGTATTGCGTTGTTGATCTCAAATCAAATTAATTCGTTTTGTAACAAATTTTGAAGGTTTACGACTTTTTAAAATGTTATTGTTACTTGAAGCGTTCATAATAAGTCCGATTTACGTTAGTGTTACCAAGCTAAAAACTTATTAGAGCCAGCTAGTTCGTTAGCTCGGTTTAATCCCGGCTAAATTAGTCCTCGGCACATTGTCACTGGTGCTTGCGAAGTATAGTAACTCTGTTTACAAGACGAATTAAGGCCACCGTCGTCATCTACATCGTTCTATATCTAGACCTAATTATTAGAATTAATGAGCCTAACGCTTTTCTGTTATTGCATCTTGAGTTGCACATAATTTGGAATAATTAACGCTGTTTACATTAGATTAAGCTATCGACGAGTTTGTTATTTGAAAATTAATCTAATTTATAAATAATTAACATCATTAGGTAATATTACTTTGACTTGTGACCTTTGTTACTTATGTAACGTTTAGAACAACTTTTGTTTGTTAGATTGATGTAGGTTTATAATAGACTATCAGATAGGTACATGTACAGTATTTATTTGTTGGAAAAAATCCGGGTTTACCAAATTAGGAAATTACTGAGTGTTCAACGATATAATTGAAATTCATGACACCAATAGAAGTTTTACATAATTTGCAAACATTATTATTCCTTACGCATCGCGTTAATTGAAGACACGAAATAATTAAACTTAAATTAAAACAAATAATTAAACTGGAATCTGTCAATGTTTGTTGCACTATTTACTAGAATACATTAACAATTATATGCTAGCAAGTCGGACTGGAATTGCTTCCTTCCGGAGCCTACAGAAGCGGAAATAACAGGACTAGATGGAACCGAGAATCAAATTGGACGTGCAAATGGGCTGTTTCAACAGGTTGACTCTGTATTCAAGGTAATCAAACCGACTGCATTCAGAAAATCAATTCTGGAAATTCTGAAAATTAACTACATACATACAAAAGAGTTGTGCAATTTAGTAAAAATAGAAAGAGAATATTGTAATTTCAAAGATCCAAATGAAACACCAATAGCTTGGCGAACCACAAATTCCAATGGTTCGTGCAACAGATGTGCAATAATTGGTTTGGTGCCGAGACAGGATGCGGCACACCTGTCTGCGAGAATTTAAACTTAGGAACGGCAAAAACGAAGTATTCAGTATGTTATTTATATACCGAAATACGCTAATAAAATAATAACAAGTATTCTATCATTATTTCTGGGAAATTTTACATTATTTCTATTATGCCTCACCATAATATGTAATAATAGGCAACCAGATACAATAACAAAAGATCCAAAAAGTAATTAAAAATACGATCAATGAACTAAAACAGACAACTAAAGATAAATACAATTAAAGACGAACAATTTAAATTACTCTACTCTCAATTTGACCACAGACTTTAAACAAAAACAAAAGTTTGACAATAAACAAAATAATTAAATCGTGTTTGTGTCAAATACAGTTTTTAATGATTTAATGTATGTTATTATATCCTTCTCTATATTGTCTATAAATGTAGGCATACTCGTCTGTCTGCGCAATTTTCGTAAAAAGGGGTACAAAGTTTTTACTTCACGTATATAGTTTAACCACAAAGTATGATGTCATATGTGGCTAATCGTTGTTTTAGTACATAATCTATGATAAGCTTATTGCTGCAAGGTTTTTAACTACAAAACTAGTATGTAGCTCATCAGATTATTACCACAAGTACTACAAAATTTGGTTTCCTATTTTTTTAGTTTAATGTAACAAATAACTTTTTAAAATCATGAAGACCATTAGATCAAAAGCAAAAGACGGCTTCTTCTCCGAGACACAGCTTATCGAAAAGGCTTTGTGACAGGACTGAAGTACTTATTAAGGACTCTTCGCTGTAACAATGGACAAAGGGTAACGCGACCACAGGAAAAATTCTTGATATTCCGGTACAATAGCTCAATAAAATTATGTGCTATAATTTAAGTTCTTGCTATTGTTTATGTGTACTATAATTTCGTGGAGCGTTTCTATTAATATCTGCTGACTTTTATTCCTGCTAGTCGGAGATTGTATTTACGACAGACTTGTACTTATAGGGTTATTTTTTTATTTTTAATGGCCTCTAAATAATCACAATATGTTAAATGGAAAAAAAATGTAGGTACTCACATCCTCTGATTAAAGAGCAGCTCTCTATGCAAGTCCATACGCTGTGGACTTTCTAAGCATGGATTTGGCAGTCGTCGTGGTGCGATGAGGCTTTCACTTCCCGCACCATTCTCTCCTTCTTGCACCATATCCACGGCGCCCAGGTTTGCTTCCGACACCAGCGTGGACACCAGGTCCACGCCGCCGCCACCACTTAGAGCGTCCACAGATAGCACTGGAAGAAGAAAACTTTATAGAGTATATATTTTTATTCTTCTTCTTCTTCTTCTTAGTCGCATACTTCATTGCTGTAGGTCGTGTCCCTGAAAGCGATTCGTGGCTCTTTGCACCACCATCAGCTTCCGTTTCCTTCGGTTTACGAGTTCTCTCAGGGCGGTATTTTTATTAGAACATATTATTTATTCATATAATACATTCATTATTCACAGAAGCATTCATTAATTGAGAATTAAATAGGTAAAGTGTATATTATCGATAATAATAAAATAATAGAGGGCCGACAGTTTTGGATCTTTTTTATTTTTATTTTTGAATATGTATTAAATCTAAAAAAAACTGTAATGCTATTTCTTTTATTAAAGAAATCTTAACTTACTTAAGTGGAGTAATCGACAGATGTATAGTGTTTTGAATCACGCTAAGGTTATGGTGCTAAGATTAATATAAAAATAAGTCACGGGAACAGCTGCTTGTTGTAAATAATTTAGAAATAAAATGATAAATACACTACTTATGTACAGTTAAATACAGTTGATTATATAGATACCAAATATGCCAAACTATTTATTAATACGTATATGCCAACTATACCAACTATGCCAAACTTTTTATTAATAAAACCGAAACATTCCATTTTGTTTTCATCCCATAAGTTTGGACGTACTCGACGCAAGCCGTTCAAATTTGTTTAATGAATCATTTGATGATATCATCAAGGTGTTATGAAGTCGATGGCATTCCAATCTACACATTCAGATATAAACTTTAGGAAAAAAATGCAATCATATTTTATGAACTCACTTTGAATCAGAATTAAATAAATATTTGAAATATGAGCAAACACGCACTAAACGACTTAAAATTAAATTCAATTAATAAATTTTCGTGTCTTTAATTAACAGCAAATACGAAATGCGCTTTTTCCCAACATTAAAACTTACATAATGGAGAACAATTAAAACTATTGCCTATGTGTATTACAACATTCGATTTCAAACTTGAATATAGAATAGGTGAAACAATCAAGTGGATTTAACAATCACATCGCTATATAAGTAAAAGTGAATAACACAATATTCGTACTACACATTAAAGGCGTGAAAACATGAGTACTTTGTTTTATAGCTGTGGCCTGATTCGCCTCGATCCACAGCCGTGGTTGAAAGTCCCCCTGATCTCGGCTTAATAAGAGTGCGAAGCCCGGACCTCTCGCATCCTTCCTAAGGAAATAACCTAATATTACGTGGGAACTCTTTCTAGGGGAATACTATTTTGAACGTTTAAAACGTTTCGCAACTTGTTCCTGCTCGTTATCTCGCGCTACGACCTCATTCCCGGCACTTGGTACAAACGGAAACTGTGCAGTTATGAACTCTTGAAATTCATTTCACAACTTTCGCGTAATAACTGAACAACGAAAATTTAAAACAAAAGCGCGACTCGAAAGCAACAAACAATAAATTCGTTTGCTTAAACAAATTGAATTAATGAAGCGATACAATGACTTTGATACGTACGCTTTATGTGGCCTAAGTAAACGAATTATAATATGTGAAACCTAAGAACCAAGACTTATACACGCTTGAAACATGTACCATAGAAAACTTAATATGTAACCGACCTCAATATATTGAATTCAATTTTACTACCGTATGTCGAAACCATCCGTGAAAACTATATGGCAGTGATGAACGATAGCCACTTATAGATAACCGTTAAACTTTATCGATTTGGCATTGCATGCTGCCACAGTAGCTGTCCCAATTTTATAGGTTTATAGTTCACTTGATGGCGAGTGAAAAAAGGTTTTATACAATATTATGGCTTATATACATAAAATTTTTAGTACATTTTTGAACGCACTCTGATTTCTTTTGCAATTATATGAAATGATTGCGGTAGTATCTTAACGACCATGATAATCATTGATAACCGCATCATTTGAGAAATACTGGATAGTTTGGGTTATTATTTTGTATTAATTGCTGCCCGAATAAAACATTGAAATGTAGCTCGGAAAATTGGAACCAAATGATTACAAACAACTTTATTTGAATTTAAACTATACAATTATAAATAATTCAGCTCCTGATCAGCTAGTATGTACATATTTTTTTGTTCAAAAATGACCTCACTCCACTGTAAGTTTGTCTTTGTTTCATATATGACGCAAAGTATACTACATCTACTTTAAGGATTATATTACTTAGCAGGTCGCGGTTTCACGATACAACGTCGACCCTGTAACCTTCATTAACTGTTGCTAATAAATTAAGAGTCTGTTAGAATAAATTTAACGATCGTGTTATTTTTTTACCAGAATTCATGAATATTCTGGAATATAACGCAATAAATACCTCATTCAACTTCTTATTTGTAATTCAATGACGTGGACTATTTATACGAATATTATCACTCTGTTAATTCGGTAACAAAATGTTAAAAACACTTGACTATTTATTCTTACAGAATGTTTACTTAAAGGAACAGTAGACGCGTAGGTTTCCCTACGGACAATTTCGTGCCGACAAATGCACGACATAACACACACGGCTATTTACATAATACCTGTTATCAGATACACAACATTCACTTAAAAGACCGATATACGCGTTCTGTACTTACAAAAAAGTCTGTTGTAACTTTGTTTGCTTTATTATATACGAACGCGTTTAAACTCCATTGTATACCCCTCAAAGATTTCACATAGCGATAATTAAATTATGATAATTGTAATTTTTAAGTAATCCTTAATTAAGATAGTCAAATTTGAATCCAAAATTAATTTTATAAATTTTAGCATGAAGTGGTGACTATCATTCGATGTAATTTACATTTTGACGCAGATGAGCTTGCTAGACATGATCAAGGGGTAGTAGCAATAGTGTTTCAGATGACTGTGGTCCCGTAACTTCTGATTAATAATCAGGTGACCATTATGTAAGATCCTCAATTAGTTAAAGAATACGTAACGACAAGGTTTCTTTTGTCGCAGTTATATTCATGATGACAGGAAAGTATGTCGAATTACTAACGGCTGAGGTCATAAAAATAGTTAATATTGAGACAACAAATAACACTGGTTAAATGTACTTCATTCGAACGTTGCTATACTACTAAATTTTCTAATAATTCTATGATACTTTCGCCGGTTTCTAAATATTAGGCAATGCGTTACTCTACCACACATTACAACAATCGTTAGTTAGCACGAGCACTTATTGCAATAAACCGGAAAATATCAGACAAACACGGAGCCGGAACCAAAAACCGTCGGATTGACGAAACAATTCAATAATTACCTGCGTTAACGACAATTAAATCAAACATTTATTATAAGTGATTTTCTAACGGCATGTTTTAACAGAAATGTAAATTAGCATTGAATGTTAACTGTATTGTAGAATTGTGGCATACTAGTCCGCAACGTTTTCATTATAAAATAGCTTATACCTACTAGATGCGCCTTGCATTTTTTTTCCCTAACTATTTCGCTGGTAGCCTAAGAGGTTATTCCAGCTACACGCGGACGGGTAGGTGATCTCACAGACTTAACTTGAGAGAATTCGCTAACACTAGTCCTAGCAAAAGCAGTGCATCACAGAATCTACCATCAATCGAAATCGCGACCCACTCAAAACATCCGGCAACAAGCTCGGTGGGTTGTATGTACCACACAATGAAAAATGTCGAATCGCTCGCGAAACAGCAATTAAACAGCAAATTGTGAATATTACGAGATGCTTTCCTAAATTATACTCTAAAAAACCTGGCAATAAAATCAGAACTCTGGCGCTCCTTCACGAAAAAATATATAACCAACTTCTGCGATTCCGATCCGGTGGTAGATTCAGCGAAGCAGTGCTCTTGTTAGGGCCAGTGTTATCAAATTCTCTTAGGTTGAGCTTGTGAGTTCAGCTACAGTCCGTCAGTAGTTTGAATAGCCCCTTAGACTACCAACGATTAGGTGAGGAAAAAAGACAACTTCTAATTTAAATATTCACCATATGCAAAAACCATATCTATATAAACTTTTTAAAATCATGAAGACCATTAGGTCCATTAGGAATATTATATTCGAAAATCCCCTAAATCCTAATAAAAGTCACGCAGGCTCAAATGCTTCTGAGATTAGCCTGGTCAAATGGATACAGGCAAGTTTTTAAATCGCATTTAGGTTTTAGTCATGTACAATAAAATGAGCTTAGCTACAATAAAAAAGCCTCTATTCTGAAATTACAGTACGCATTTCAATTTTACTTATTTGTAATACATTTCATCTTATTCAATAGTCTGAACGAAGCGTCCTTGAGAAGGGTAGGCTGGATAATCCCGGGGAACGTTTATTGAACCGCCCACTTCAAAGGTCACGTATCACACTTTTTTTAAAACGATCATTATTTTGCGAAACACGTGTACAAGAATTATCTTCTTAAGCTTAATGATAATAAAGAATGTTAGGAATTTATTAAAGAAATCTAAATACCAAGATAAAAGAGGCTCCAATCAATTCAGTATAGCAACTTGCTACATTATAATTTCTAAGTATTGTACCATGAGAACTCTTAAAGGCGGTAACTTTTAGCTAGAATATCTCATAATTACATTCCATATAAGGTAGTAATAGTATATTTTCTACTTTTTCTTCTATACTTCCTCTAAGCCCCTATGTTAAGTACCTACTAGTAGTCAGGTAATTGGAAATATGCACGAAATCATACCACGACCTTGCTTGCTTCGCTTATTTCTGTCACGATGCATTCTTGTGGTTCAGTCTGAAAGTTGGGATAGCTGTCAATGGAATTGATACTTAGGCTTTCAGAGTACATACTCGTGCCTATGTTTTAGGAAAACATTTAAAAATTAGTCTGCCTCCTTCCTCAAATCTCCACGAACAAAGTATGACAGGGACAACTGTAATAAAGGCAATAAAAACAACAAAAACATAAATTAATAAGTAACTTTACCTCGGACGCACCTACACAATTTCTAACGTCACTCTATGGTAAGCTATCGTCTAACCTTTGACCTACGGGTATTTTTAGCCCACCATCCGACGATGTTGTTTTAGCAAGGCCGTGGTCGTGTTCATTTGCTGAAACAATTGACGTCATTCGCCATCTGAAGGCTGTTAACTTGTTAAGTATGGCCCCGTTAATCTAATATATACAGTTACAAGGTCTGACAACAACTAATTAATAAGGATAAATTTTTATTACATGCAGTACCATGTACTTTACAACAAAGACATCTAGAGAAACACATTTGTTTCAAATTACGTTGATGTGAAGAGTCTTTGAGAACAATTTCAAAGCACTTCTCCGAGCTTTTCCAACTCGTCTTTAGACCGCCAAAGAACCCAACGACGAACGTCTTCATTTTCTAGCGACACATTTTTCTGGAGCACAAGCCAAACCTTTTTCATTAGTGTAACAGAAAAAAAAGTGTGTAATGGCAGAAACTATGCTGGTTTATGAATGGGCGTGTACGTGAAATATATGCGGTTTTCTCAAGTTCTTTATTATTTTCCTTCTTTTTTTCGCAAGAAACGTGAATGAAAGAACCGCTAAACGTTTGAACTAGCTAATTGTAAAAGATAATTGAAAACCACACTAACTTAATTCATAATATCGCTCTCGTACATAATACATACTCCGTCATAGCAGACATGATAAACGGTTTTATAACGAAATTAATTACAATTCTGGGTGAATGAGCTTACCTACCTAGTGTTAAGTGGTTACCGGAACCCACGAAACCTCACGACCTGAATCCTTCCACCTTATGGTAAGACGATTCCACCTTGAGACGTGAGGTCGAAATCTGAGCATTGCATATTGCAGTTGCGTTGCAAGACGTCTCACCACCAATATAAATTTTATTTACGCACAACTCAGGCACAAATAAGACAATACATTGACTAAATGCTATACGCGGTGTTACGTCAACTGTTATTTCATTGAAAATACTGACGCCTATAACTTCCAGAACAAAAGAACAATACTGTGCAGATCACGATGTGAAGTTAAACTGAATAAAAATAACAACTCTCAAATATATATTATGTACACACATATGTATGTATGTATGAATGTACATACGTACGCTTCGACGAGACAAATTGAAGCGACACCTAGTTATTATGTAGATACGTTTGTTGACAAGATTTGATACAACTGAAAATTAAGATAATAATGATGAGACTGTAATAATATACATATCTCTATATCAATACAAGTGACACCAATGACAAATAATTATCATTAATTGAGCCATATGGAGTGTCATTTTAATTCTTGTTTAAATATAATAATTTTTAAAATAAAATTTATTTTAATTAATTCATATTAGTTCTGTGGAACGAATACTTTGGCCACATTGCCATAAAGGATGACGGCAACTTGGAAAATTTAATTGTCACCGGCAATACGGATAGAAAAGGACCACGAGGTAGAAACCCGACACGTTAATTAGGTAATAATAATAATAATATAATAAATAACGTCAAGTGATCCACAACAAATTTTTGTTGCGAGAAGGTGGTCACGGTCCTCGGCATTGAGGAAACCGAAACGAGGAGGAAGAGGAACGAATAATGACACTTAATAATTTTCCAATTCAATACTTCCTTCGGTTTTTCAAAGTTGGGTAATTTATATATTTCAGAAGTCGTCAGAAGTCGTTTGGAATTCTTACAATCGTTCAGTGATGTATTTATTGTGTTAAATTTAGGCCCGCATTTACTGTTCCATTAAAATCTGATTATAAATAAACAAATTTATCAATATTACTTTGTCAATTTTAAAGCGCATCGGTCAATGCTTTAATTTTATATATATTTTTCCGAATTTCAAGATATCACAAACACACTATAACTAGACGGTCACAAGTAGGGATGGTGGTATCGGCCTAAAAGAGAATCACCTCTTTATTTCTCGTGGGTTTCGTAAAAGGCGACTAAGGCATTCATTGAAAATCGCATGAAAATAAAAATAATGTGCATTCTAATCTGCATTTACTGGTGGTAAAGCGTACTTACTCTAAGCCCTCACCGGAAACCATTATCTCGCCTATTTCTACCGCGAAGCAGTAATGCGTTCAATTTGAAGGGTAGGACAGATGTTATATAATGCAATTGAGACTTCGACCTTCTGTCTCAAGGTGTACTTACAATTGGAAATAATATATGAATATGAAATAAGTACTTGAAATCAAAATGAAATGAAAATGACGCAAAACTTATTACCCACTACCCCTATTAGTAGTTGTATAGGACTACTCAGAAGAAAATATACATAAACCTTTATCAAATTTACTAGACAGTCTCAGTACATTCAAAATGAAATATTAGAAGAAAATCTATTTGAAACTACTAGTCGTATATGCATACGTACATCTGTTCTATTATAGCACCCTGAATCTTAAGCAGACGTAACCGCTATACAATAAAGCAACGATTTTACGTTCGTCCAAAGATACCTAATGGGATGAGGAAATTATTACTATGGTTATATGATTCTCAAGGCACGTGCGGATTGGTAACTGTGTATTTATGGACCGTAAATTATAAAACTAAATGGTCAGTGTCTTAAGAATTTTAACACGTTGCCCTAAATTTTAGTTGGTCATGCTTTAGAAACGTCTAAATATTTACATTACACCATTAAGTAAGACTATTTAAATTATACATTCCTGGACTATTTAAACTAAAGCGTAATAAAGGTGTTGTTAAAATAAACAAAGACACGTCAATGACTGACCTTACACAAATAACTATTATAGACCAACGCAGCTTCTGTAATACATTCAGTACCGGATTATATCTGTCGGCCGGTATGGTGACGTGTTCAATCAACATTGAATGGAAGATCCCTCTGTCGTACGTGGCTCGATCAATGAGTTACTTCCTCATGCGGGCGCACACCAATCCTTTATGATACTTGATGACACTAATGACTTCAATCTGAATTTTCCCGTGTCCTTGTTATGGGGGGTCAACTGATATGACCAAGAAAGGAGTGTACTTCACTTCGTATGCTTTATAAGTCCAATAAAACTAATAGGTCTTCATTGGCTCAATAGACGAATAAACTTTTTAAATGCATCGAAACGAAATACGTTTTAGAAACCATGTTGTTTTTTTTTTCATCGACATTGGTACATAAGCACTGAATGTCGTAACAGATAGTTTGTCCACAATCAACTAGGGTGTAACTGGAAAAGGGTTGAAGCCATTAGGGTACGACCCTCATATTATAGTTACAAGGACACAAGTGAATTAGGATATTCAATGCGGTTGCCAAAAAGATTCCAGTTATATTTAAATTCAAGCACATTGCGTCATGATTCATAAACGGCCTATTTTTAATTTTTTGTTCTGATTTTTTTTCTACTTAGATATAGAGAGAGAGAGAATACACTTTATTGCACACCAAAACACAATTTACATTCAAAAAACAGTCAAAAAGCGGATACATTTGTAAAATAGGCGGTCTTATCGCTAAAAGCGATCTCTTCCAGACAACCGTAATTTACAGAAATTCTGGAAAATATAAAAATATAGCTTAGATAATTTTTGGAATGTCTGTATTTGGAAGTTATTTCTGATTTTATTCATTATTTATCCATCCACTTTTATTACTATTACTATTTATTACATTCACAATTTGCTAGTATTAAATTAGCCAGTTTAAATCAACATAGAAACAACTAACATTTAGCTGGAATTCTCAAAGCGTTGTGCAATACGTACTTATAATACTAGCGTTTCTGTAATGTTACTAATAAGCACTAGCTGCACCTGAAATAGAAGTGACCGCGATAAACGCACCGATGCAATAATAAGGGCTCTAACGAGATTTGTTAAAATATCATTCGAAGTACGTCCAAGTTCAATAAAACTTAATCTTCAATAATTTGCAGCATTTGCGACTTTAATTGATAGGTTATATTATAATATTCAGAATAAATTGAAAAATATACACACGAATATCTCTCTGTGATTCGTCGATTATAAATTCAAAAGTATTAACATAATTAAAATTACTGGTACGGTTTAATCTCTTATTCATTATTTGAATTGTATAATATTTCTGCCTTTGTAATAGCTTTAAGTTTTCATGGTCACGTGGAAAGTAGTCCTTAGAGAAGTTTTGATAATAATAATTAAAAAAAAACCAGACTACTGACCATTATTCACTTATACCATTTACTCAATATTTCGGTTACAAATTTTAATTTCACAATGTCTAACAATCTCACAATACCTACATCAGTTATTTTAGTGGGGTAAATATTTCAACTTTTAGACTGTATTTTCAGCTTTCTTGTACAGTATGTGTGAATTAATTGAAATAACAATTATAATGTAATGCTTTAACACTTTGTGCGAAAACTTAATCTCGCATCACATTTTTTTTTATTGCCCTTGTAGGCAGACGAGTATACGGCCCACCTAATGGTGAGTGGTTACCGTCGCCCATGGACTTCAGCAATGCCAGGGGCAGAGCCAAGCCGCTGCCTACCGCTGCCTATCGCATCGGTCAAATCCAGATTTACAAACATGTCACACTTATCATTTACAACAAGCACGCGAATAGTAGGTAGAAAATATAGTTTTAAACCGACAGGTAATGTTTGGATTAAATGAAACTAATATAAATATATTGAAAGAGTATTTTTACCACGATTTCAAGCTTATCTTCGAACAAAATTATCTCTGACGGTCATCTATAAAGATTTTTCAAGCGAGTGTAATCTCAAAACTCTGATCCTGACTTCCATTTTTATTAGTTGTTTGTTGTTATATTTCCAAAGAAAAATAAGAAGGTTTGTACCTAATTGACAATATTGAAAGCTAGGATTCTGCTTTATGAAGGACTTAACAAACATGTCTGTACATGTAGATAGGTTAATTTTAATCTCGAAGGTATTTGTTATTTCTATCGGTTTTATATTAAAAAAAAATTCACTTTGTTTAGTTTGATAGAAAGATTCTCTTTTTGTTCAGGTAAGTAATAATAAGGCAAAAGGAAAATCTTTCAAAAGCCGTGAAACAGACTGAGAGAGCATCCACTCACGTGATTCTAGTACATTTTGTGCTCTAGACTTGGCGTCGTTTGCAGTGAATTCCTCATTCATTCCTCATAGCATGTTTAAATGAAGGGCTAGCAAAAGCTGACATGTAAAATTTAGCACGACAATTAACATAATTAGACGGAATCAAATTAACCATTCAATAATTTGAGAAGCGTAAAAGTTGTACAAATACTTTTTTATAAGTCACATTAAGTAAAGTTTCATGTTTTATCTGCATTCGAATCATGATACGTTAGAGTACTTTGCACACAATCCATTAAGATGTTTATAAAAAGATGATGTCTAGTAGAAATCGATAAAAAACAGAGTTGACAACCAGATATGTAAACTTTAACCGACCTTGAGATTCATTGACCTCACCTGAATCCATTCTGACAGATTTGTTGAACTATCGATAACAGTGACGAGGGACATCCCTAGGTTGTAAGTGCGTTCATGGGCAGGGCTCTAAGGGCGTTGACCCCAACGGCAGACGGAGCTTTTCGCGTCTCGCCCTACTTGCCGCCCGCCCAACTCGCAATCGTATACGTAATTCTTGTTTTTTTAAACAATAAACCAATGGTTAAAAAAACATATACTGCAGTAACAATTTGAAAACAAAATAAAGTTTTCGAAGGAAAAGACGGAGTTTTACTTTCTGATTTTTATTCATTGGCTTGACTTTGCGAAGAGTATACTTCACATCTCAAGCGTACTCAGTCTTCATTGTACATATTACAATGAAAAAAAAAATTGCTTACTATATTTTTTGGAACACCGTTAGGTATAACAAAAACATTGTTCAAGTGGGTTCATAGGCTAGGTCTATGAAAATAATAGTTTTATATACATTATAGTGCCCGTTTG